TTTTTTTTTTTCGTGTCTGTGGCCCATTTTGGGCAAATGCTGGAAGTGGAACGGCCCGTTCCGGAAGCAGAACGGGTCGTTCTGCGTAAAGATACAGCGTCTTTTTTTTGAATCTGGAACGGCCCTGTAACGACCCGTTCCAAAACCAGAACGGCCCGTTCTTAACCCGTTTTAATTTAAAAAAAAGACTCTGTTTCTTTAAGCAGAACGGCCAGTTCTGCTTCCGGAACGGGTCGTTCCACTTCCAGCATTTGCCCAAAATGGGCCACAAACACGAAAAAAAAAAAATTTAAAAAAAAGTTTGAAGCTTAGAATTCGGTTCCCGGGGAATCGAATTCCGAGCATGAACAGTAAACAGGTCTACTCCTGTAAATAAACTTGCACAGGTGTCATTTTTGTAATTTAAAAAAAAAAATATTATTTAAGTAAAAATTTCAGATAGAACAGCCGTGGTGTGAAAAAAGTTCCAAACAAATTCTAAATTATATGTGGTTATTTTAATGAATTAATCACTAATATATTATTAATATAATTTTTTTTATATTATCAATTAATTATATTTCTTATTTATGCTATGTCACTGTTAAAAATAAATGTGTTTACAGTGACATAGAACAATTAAGAGATATAATTGGTTGTCAGTATAAATTTTTTTTACACTAGCAGTGTATAAGTGATTAACTCTATTTTAATTGATTTGTCAATTTTTTATGAGTTAATCATCGATACACTGCTAGTGTAAAGTTTTTTTATACTGATAACCAATGAAATTTTTTAAATTATTTTATTTTATTTTTATTTCATTAAATAAGTAACTGACATGGTACTGTTAAAAGATCTGATTATATAGGTGATTAACTCATTTTTTATTGGATGAATAGGTAGTGAGACATGATTTCAATCACCAAACACACTGTAAAATTACTTTATATTTTTTAAACAATTTTTTTTTAAGAATGAGGTTTTAAAGAAAATTTATAAATATAATCAATTATTTTTTTTACACCATATTCAATTATTATTTACGATTTCCAAAAATAGTATATATTTGCGGTTAATCACTATCAAAAGATCTAATAACTTGTCAATACATTTTCATGATTTTGTTTTATTTTCACTTATTTATTAATTATAATTTAAGATCTATTTCAAAGAAAAAACATCATAGATTAATCATGAAAACAAGAACTAATTAATTTTTAAAATGTTAATAATTTATTAGCAATTAAAATCATAATGGTCATATTATTATATCTCTAAAAAATTAGTATTAATTAGACTTTAAAAATTATAATTAATTAAATAATAGTTTTTATAGATACTTTTAAATCAAATTTAAAAATAAAGTTATTTTAACCTTTTAAATGTACACAGTTGCTATAAATATACAATAAGTCAATAAAAACTATACCATTTTTTTTCATTATGTAGGCTCAATTTTATAATTAAATAAGGGTTAGATATATTTAAAGTCTTTCAAATTTAAAGTAAAAACATCATATTAAACTTAGTTAATATTGTATAACTGTCACAATCTGTCACTTTCAAATATATTATTAGTGATTTAAGGAATTAAAACAATATTTTTTAAAATTATAGAAATTAAAAACAATAATTTTAAATTTAAGATATTAAAAATATATTTAAACTGTTAAATAATGTTACGATATTCTATTAAATCATGTACATAATTTTTTTTAACATTTGTCTAATTTAATTTTTAGGTATTATTAATATGAAAAAACATAATAGGTATGATTTTTAAAAAAATATAATATAAATAAATTTATTGTATATAACAATTCGTAATTATATAATAATATAAAATTATTTACATTACAAAAAAAATACCATATACTTACAGATGTTTTGTTCTTACATACAAATGTGTGTAAAATAAAAAACTACTTTTATATATAAATATTTAATATAAATAAAATTTAAATACTTATATTTATAATTTTTTATTGTAGGTAAAATTTAAAAAGTTATTTTTACGCTACAATTCACATAAAAGATGGATACTTCCTCTGTGAGTATGCCAATTTTTAATTTTCTTCATTGCCTTTTAACACTTGAACTACACTCTTACATACTTATTATGTATTGTATATATGTATTACAAAATGAGAAGTTTCACGTCTAGTATTGTCTTTAGAAAGTAGTTTATATATCAAGTTATAAATAATATAAATATATAAAGAGACTAATAATAGTGAAAATTTGTGTCCATGTATATGAGTCAAGTGAGTATATTGTAATGATATTCTTGTTGTATCCTAGGAGTAGAGATGTTTACGAGTCTTTAAATTTTTTAAAAATTCAAATTAAATTAATTCTTGATCGACTTTTTAGAAAACGAATTCGTTTGGAATTTTTGTACATCTCTACTAAGAATAGAGCTGTTCATAAATCAAATTTTTAAAAAAATTAAAATTAAACTAATTAAGAGTTAATTATCCATATACTGCTTGTGTAAAAAATTTTATACTAACAACTAATCATATCTTTTAAATTATTTTATTTTATTTTAATTTCATTAAATAAGCAAATGACATGATACTATTAAAAAATATGATTGATTATCGGTGTAAAAAATTTTCACTGACAGTGTATAAGTGATTAACTCTTAAACTAATTCTCAATCCATTTTATAAAAAATATATCAGTTTATATTTTTTTTGAATATCTCTATTATTTGTTTTGAATTTTTTACACACTCCTATTAAAAAAAACTTGATAAGTTTTACTAGTTGATATGCAAAATAAAATACAACCTTTTATCTCATCTTGCAATAGATATAAACAAGAAAATTTCATCTTCAAAATGAAAGAAAGAATTAAATAACGCTAGATTTTGATGAATCCAACATGGGACGAAATATAAAAATTCAATACTAAGTGTACTATATAAATAATTAGATATGACCTTCATTATGTAGTACAGACGCACATTGGAACAAGAAAATTATATGTGCAACATATTTATACCATAAACTATACTCCCTATTAGCTTATTTATAAATAAGTAGATAATCATATAGAATTTCAGGGCAACTGATCAGCTAACGAGCCAATGAACAATTATCTGAAACAGCCAATAAAGATGAATCTAGGTATCCCTTCGCCTCATGTTATTTTTTCACGCTTAACTAAGCAACACATTCCTTATCTCGAGAGTTATTTCCCCCCTCATAAATATGATCTATACTAATTCTAAAATTGATAATTAAAAATTAATTTATATGTGAGATTTAATTTTATTAATTAAATATTATTTTAATAAAAATAAGAATCAAATTTGAGAGTATCAAATTTATCTTTTATAACATAGGACAAATCTTATAATCATTGGAATAAGAATATCCTAAGAAGAGAGTCGGATATTTTCTTAGTATTTAATTTTGTTCTCTGCAACTAAAAACTCCTTTTTTTACTACGTATTCAGATATTGTCTCATGGTCATGTTCATATTTTGTATATGGAGAAACCCATACAATCAAGTGAAACTCATGCAATTTGAAGCCTTAGACATGAAATTCTAACTATGTTTCCTTCATTTATTGTATTTGAACATGAGATTTTGCTTAACGAATTAAGGCATATGATATATATCTATATATATATATATATATATATATATTTATTTATTTTATTTTTATTTAATTTAAAAAAAAAATGATATTTATTTATTTTATTTTTATTTTTTTTATATATATTTATAAAATTATCATATACTTATTTTTTTAAGAATTTAATTAAATATAGACAACTTTTAGTAACTTATTGAGTAAAGGTACACAAATATAATTATCAACTAGTGTAATAACTTTATAATGTTTAACTTTTTAAATTTATTATTATTTTAATGTATTTTTTAAATTTATAACATGTTAGTTAGTTCCAGTCTTAGCATATAATTTTTTAAATCTATTTTTAAATTTATTATAAATTTATTATAAATTTTGTATTTTTAATGTAGTGAAATTCACGTAGGTATGAGTTGAGTTGGTTTCGGTTTAGAAAATATTTAGAATCTAAATCCATTAATATTAATTAATTTGTGTTGGACCAGATTTCAATTTTTTTAATAGCATACATTTAAAGAATTACAATATCATTAGTTATATAATAATATATAATTGAGATATTTTAAAATTTAAATTATTTTTTTATAATATATAATAGTATATTATTATTTCAGTAAAAAAATTGTATATTATCATTATATAAAATTGTCATTTGATCACATATTACTATATTGTCATTTTATCATATATTAGTATATTTGATAATCATCTTATAATTCACATTAAAGTTAACTAACTCAATTGGTTGAACAATTTGACTTATTATTATTATTATGATATTTTTATGAGTTTAATATGATAATAAATATACGGATTTAGAAATTCATTTTGGACCATTAAATCTTCTCAAGTTATTTCTTTTTAAGAACTATAAAGATTTGTACTAAAATAATGGATGACAAAAAGAACAACAAATCTTAAACATATAACAAATCTTGAAAAACTATTTTTGCAATTCCTAATAAAATCCATCCACATTAAGATTACTTATTAATATCACTCCTATAAAGTTTTATCATGTTTAAGAATCGATATCAATAATCATTTATAAATATCATCTTCTTTAATTAATCAAGGTACCATTTTATGAATAAAATCATAATATCTTAACAAATACTAAAATAAATAATATCTTAAATAGAGTATATTAATTATGTCACTTCACTTAACATCATTATAGTTGTGAACTCCATTAGTAAGGAGTTCTATTCCCATTTATAAAAGAAAAATAAAACAGAAAATTAATTCAAATAATTATAGATAATTGGAGTATTTGGATCAAATGGTTTCTCTCCAAATACCAATCCAATCCGCTACTTGATTTAATAGTTTAGAATTCGGATAATTACATAAAATTTGATGCAAATTACTGTGATGTCCTTGCTATCCTGTTCAAGTCCGAACAGGTGGATCAAATCTAAAGATTCCAAAGAGTAATCATGATGTATTTCACTGCAAATTAATCCGAGTTTTTCATTTTAGGGTCTGGACTTACTAAGGTTCTAAGCTTGGTATTTGCCTTCTATTGTTTGTTCGGCCACAATGCTCTCGGTTGTATACTTTTCAATGAAATGTTTGTACCAACTTGCTGAGGATTTTGGGGTTTTCTTCAGTGTGGCGAAATCAACGTGGTGAAGTCCAAATCTCAATGAAAACCCAAATTTCCACTCAAAGTTGTCGAGCAAGGACCAGGCAAAGTAACCTCTCACATCTGCTCCTTCCCTGATCACATCAACAACACACAAATACTTAGGTCCAAGGTCAAGGATAAAAAATAAGAGTTAATCACGGCTGGTGTGAAGCTTTTTTACACCGGCAACCAATCAGATATGTTAATAGTGTCTTTTTTATTTTAATTTAATTAAATGAGTAAATGACATGATATTATTGATTTCTAGTATAAAAAAACTTTACACTAACAGTGTATAAGTGATTAACTCAAAGAATAATGTCATGATTTATTTATCTATTCTTATTCTTATATGGGTGGATATATATGTTGTTGTATATAGTGCGTACCTTATTGCTGCCATTAGGTTATCTAAGTGACCAGACATGTACTCTATTCTCTTAAAATCATTAAGATATTCTTCCTCGGTAAGATCTGGATCATTCAAATTGCCATATCCTACAAAAGGTTGGGTAGTCAGAAACGCTCAGAGACTCAATGAAAGGTGTTAACGTGCTTTGCATACCATTTTCGGTGATGAACATTGGAGTGTTATTATATCTGTCTTTTAGATAGATAAGAATTTTCTTCATGCCTTGTGGATAAACGTTGAGCCAATCACATGGAGTCTACATAAGAATACCAATTTCCATTAAACCTGCTTGGTTATGCAAGGTTAAAATATGAGGATCATAAAAAAAAGTTTAAGTACTTACAAGCTCTCCAATTGGGACACCGTTTTTTAGTGAAGTTTGTTGATATAAACCCTCTGTTCTGGTGACTCCTTGCCCAGATTCACACACGGTTGATATGCAGTCTCGGACATAGTAACTTGCATAGTGGTTTATGCCAATGAAATCCAGTCCTCTCCTCAATTTAGCTTTGTCATTGCTGGAAAATTTAGGTAAGATGGTTCCTAGAATCATCTCCATCTCTTTTGGGTACTTACCGAACAAGATTGGATCCAATATCCTGCATCATTATAGTGGAATTTTTATTTCTATACGATAGAATCAAATGTCATACCAGCATTGCATGGCAGTTGAATTAGCTGTGAACAATATTAGAGATACTAGATATTGATTTAGTTTGTTATAATTAGGTAGTTAGATTGTTAGCAGTTGGACTCCCTCTTGTATATAAAGCTAGATGGATTCTCAATTGTATTTCCTTTCTCATTTTGTCAATGATTAACGATCTGATTTTGAGTTCGACAGGAATGGATCTGGCAAAAAAATGAGACAGAATATGTATTTCAGAATAAACCATCTGAGCATGAGGGAAAATGTGATAGAAAGTAGAGAATGAAGAGAATTAAAAGGAAAAGAGATAGAAGGTAGGAGAAAAAGATTTCCCTCAACTTTTAGAAGAAAAGGATGTCAAGGCTCTGATACCAAGTTGAGAAACTTGGTAAAGCCCAAGAAGAGAGGAATTCAAAGAATTAGACAGAATATCAGAACTTCTATTATTAGTAAAATGAGGAAGAAGATAGAATTGAGAATCCTCCTAGTTTTATATACAAGAGAGAGTTCAACTAACTAACTACTAAGAATCTACCAAACTAACTATAAGTCTATAACCTACTAAATCAATCTATCGATCTCTAATATCTGTCATAAACATTGATGAAATTTTTTACCATTTAATGTTGAATGATTGTGCTCTTTCAGTGGCCAATTTATCTTCTGTGGAATTGCTTAACGGCTCAAACCAGTCACAGTGTAGGACAATGCCTATTTTCCCCCCTTGCTCAGTCTGGATATGGCATTTATAATAGAGCAAGTTTATAATGTTTTGGATGAGTTTCCGTACCACTTTTAACTTCGATTCGTAAAGCCAGCATCGCAATTCATTGCTTAAATGGAAATTTAACAGATTTGCGTCCCTACCTAGAATGCTTCGATATTTTTTTTAATAGGGGTTGTTAGTGTCATGTTCTAACCAAATTACCTGGTATTTGTTTCTATACATATCAACTACAGCTGCATGTGATAGGATCATATTATGGGCTGCCACAAAAGGTTCTTTCTCTGAATCTCCCTCATTGCAATCTCCAAATTTGCTAGAGCAACGGCATGGTGGGAATATACCTATACGATAGGCAAGTGGGACTATATAATTTGGCTCATTGAAGGTGACCCAATACTTGACTCTGTCACCCAAGTATTTAAAACAGATATCCGCAAAGAATTTAAAATCTTCCCTGCAAATATCAAAATATGTTTGATCATGTCAAAGCCAAAATCTCCTAGGAAAGATGTTTGCTATCTAGTACATGTGGAACTATGGCAATTGTATTGAAATCTAAGCAATCAAAATAAATTGGGGAAGTGGTTGCTTACTGTGATTGGGGACTTAACCAAGCTCCGTATCTGTCTTCAAGCTCTTGAGGGATGTCAAAGTGAAATAATGTTACAAACGGTTGGATACCTGCGAATTGCATAGTTGACAACAAATGCAGGTCAAAGAAATTGAAATTGTTTGTCTTGCAAGCCATAGCATAGGAAAATTTAAATCAACCTTTGAGTAGCAACGCATTTATAAGTTTGTTATAGTAGTTGATACCCGCCAAGTTGACTTCTCCAAATCTACCTTCTGCTCACAATCATCGAAAATTCTGCTTGTGAATTAACTAATGCTGGTACTTAGTAATAGTATCTTCTAAGCTGATAACAGTCAGAATTTATTTTTAAAACAAGAAGCCAAGAAGCATACCTGGTAGAATTCTTGCCCATGATATTGAAAACCGGTAGCTGTTGACTTTTATAGCTTTCATTAGATCAATATCCTCCTGTTTTTATTACAAATTGAAATTGGGAACATCTTTTAAAATTTGCTCTAACACTAAGACATCTTCTGAAAATTTTCGTACACAAACATGTCATAGTACATACAAATTTATGTGCAAAAATAGATACGATTTAATAAATGTGATGTATAGAATTGAATTGTGTTTACCAGATAGCGATGGTATTGATCAACAGCAACATCACCATTACTTCCATCATCTATACTACCTGCAATATATGGACTTACGAAAGTTGAAGCTTGAACAATATGTAAAACTAAGAAAAAAGAATACAAAAAAGTGGTTTGTGAACTGTTGATATGATCACCTGGTTTGTGAGTGAAGACATCCCAGTTGCTCATCCCTTTGCCGTCACTCAAGTAAGCTCCTTCATACTATGAAGAATAATGGGATTCGTTAATATGTATGGGAGTAGTGTTTGGACACACACAACAAAGATAAACATGACAAACCTGGTACGAAGAAGAAGCAGTGCCAAAGAGAAAGTAGTTGGGGAAAGATGGAGTTTCATCTAATCCATGTGAGATTGCTGTCAGAGAGGATATGAAGAGAAACAAGACTATCACCATATTCACAAATTTTTTGTGACATGCACAAAACCACATTGCATTGTCCTACTTCTCTTGCAACCTTGTTCTCAATGGAAACATGGAATGTTCTTATTCGTCCCTAGACATACGCATACATAGCATTCCGACAACTGGCTACGCTAACAATAATTGAGAAAGCCATAAATGAACCAAATTGTCAAACCAGCAAGCCCACGAACCAAAAAAAAAAAAAAAAGTGCATGATAAAATTGAAACAAAATATTAATATAATCTTTTAAAACCTTCGTTGAAAAAATTACATAATTATTATAATTTGTAATCATATTTCGATTTTTTTTTGTTAACTACAAATAAACAACCCCTTGCGCGTGATTTATATTTTAGACGACATATGTATAATAACCTCGTATCTTTAAGTAAAATTTAAGTCGAGTTCTAGTGGTTATATTAATGATAATTCGTACAGTAATTTTAATATTTTTAAAGTATTATAGTAATTCATATATTGATATTTCAAATAAATAAATAAACGCATTATCCAAGATGAAGTTATTAGTGATTACCCAGCTTTGGTAGGTTGAAATTTCCCGTCAGTACAGCCGGACCCCAATGTTGATAAGGACCGTATAACAAACTTTTTTTAAATGAAACAACTTTTTGGAATAAAATTTTCAAATTATAAAATGTCTTGTTAATTTTTTTAAAATAATGTTTATAAATTACTATGAAAAAGTTTTAATGGTTTAACAATTCAATATCATGACAAAAATTTATTTATTAATTAATGTTTTAAAAAATATATATATATTTTTTTAATTTTCTTTAGTTAAATATGGAAGAAAAAAAATCTTTCATTATTAATGAAAAATGTTAAGATTAATCTTTATATCAGATACCACTTAAGATAAATTACATTTTATTTTTATAGTTTAAAACTTCTATAACTTATTTTTTCAAAAAAGTGACCAGAATAAGTTTATAAAGTGTTAAATTATACCCTACTAATTTTCTATTTACATCTTGGCCTCCATTCAATCAACATAGACCGAAAGCATTATTGATGGTTGATAGTACGTATTCATGCAATCGAATTACTCTACATGATTACGAAATTAGTCTAGTAACCGTTCATATACTCCCAGCCTCAGCCTCAACATTTAAACATTTTGTGACAGCATTCTCATTCACTGCAATACATGCTTCTCAACCTCGGATTACAGTAAAGAAACAAAAAACTCAACTATTCTACACTGAAAACCAGATCAAATCGTGATAAAAAAAATGCTATAACTAAGGCCTCAAAGAAAGCAGCTTGAAGTGCTGTTGACCACCTTATGTATATATACTTTCTCATTAATATCAATTGTGAATACACCTTACTGTTTAGCCTGCTCAAATAATTAAATTAACAGAAATATATCAGTTGCGTCATAGATATTAGATATCTAATGCAATCCTAATTGAGAAGTAGACAGCTCAATTAAATATTAATGAAGTGCATAGCATAAATAAACATAAACAATAATAATATGGTCACTCATGCAATCACATGTTAGCCATTAAATAATGGAAATACCCAAATGGGAAGCAGCAACAAAGTTAGTAGTGTAAGTTCTCTTGCTCATGAATGAAATTTAAATTCTCTTTAGAAAGTTCATGATAAAGAACACAAAACAACAAGATTTCAATAAGTTTGCTCTGGATGAGTGAGAGATATAACGTTGCAGAACTTCTGTAGGGAGGTGCAATAACTAAATCAGGTCTATTGCATACACTATTACAGACTTGGCTTGCACAAGATTAAATCCTTTAAATTTCACTTACAAGAGGTTAAAGAATAGTGATTGCCATTGAGAGATATGAAAAATTCTCAATCACTGTTTTTAATGTCTCAAAAATAGAAAAAAAAAAACACCACGTACCTGTGAATAGAGGAAGGTGCCAAGAATTGCAATGGCTGCCCCAAGGGCATTGACGGGCTGAATTGGTGTGTGGAAGATAACGATGGAGGAGACAATTACTGAAATTCTCTTCATTGTGTTCCCTATGCTAAATGTTAAGGGAGAAATCTGATCAAGAGACATGTAAGAGACTTGATTGTACAAGTGGTAGAAGACACTCTGAGCAGCTACCCACCTGTAAAAAATTAAAACCAAGTAGTTCATTAATTAAACATTGATTAGTAATCACGAATGATCAGCAAAGCAAGAATTCTTCTAGAACTATCTAAATCAAAACAGGAAAACAATTCTGGTTCATAGAACATTACAAAAGCAATAATAACTTTTAGGGAAAAGAGAGACATCAAGAGCTGTAAATCAGAATTTGTTATTATCAATGTAATAAAATGTATGACGGATCATGCTTTAGGACACAGTCAATATTTGACTTGTTTGAAGTAAATCACCATGCTCATCACACATTATGGAATGGAAGCATATTTCTTATTAAAGAATGTCTCACATTTTAGAAAGTGGTTTCCAATTTCAGGTTTTGAGACCTGTATGTGTCCAGTGTGTGTTCTTAAATATTTATTAAGTCCAATTATAAATACTGATACAGCCTTACAGGAAAAAATCTAAAATTACAGTTCCACAAATATGAAGAGATAAAGGATAGAAAATACAAAATAAATTAACAACATGCTGAGATTAGTAGATTACTCTGCTTACCAGACAAAATTGGGACCAATCTGAGACAAGGCTGTTTGCCAGCCAGCAGCCCACATCTTTGGGCCCTCCACAGCAATGGCAAAAGGTGTGAGAATCAGTAGGGACAATATGGAAAGACAAGCATAGTAGTTCATTCCACTAACAGACATCCCTTTCATTCCCTTCTTTGAGAATATATTCCGAAACACAAAGGCCAAATTGGATATCATAGCCCCCATAAACCCTGAAACATGTCAAGAGGTCTTTTTAGAGCATTGAACTCTCGCAAATATTGATGAACCAATTACAAATTCAACATCCTATCAATCCTGTCCTCTATAAGAGAACATAGTTACTGTTAGTCAGCATCTGAGTTTCAACCATGTAATTAATTCAATCAGTAAATAGCTTTACCAATCATATTGAAATTGAGCTCCGTCACAGCAGCAAGTGCACAACCTCCTATAATTGGCACAAGTGACAGGTAAACCTGCAAAGGGAATGCTTCCCCTAGCAAGAATCTTGATACGAGGACACTGAATGCAGGCTCTCCACTCTTGATGATGTGAGTAAATGAAACAGCGACTTTGGACATACTCACCGTGGCTGCAACATGCCCAATTGTGTGTGCCACCGCAACCTGCGCACCCAAAATTTGAAATTCCCTAATGAGTACTAACTAAAAGGGTTTGACCATTATAATTTTCATACACCCTAATCTCTTCACTGTCTTGCCTCGTGTAATGCAAATACCGCAAATTCAAGATTTTGGTCATGATTAGATAAACTTTTTCATGTGAAAAAAAAAAAAAAAGATAAAACAACTTATGCACCTCATGTAAGTTTCTTTCATGAGTTGAAAACAACTTATACACATCAGCTTTTAGAGTAATTAGAGTCTATTTGGATACAAATTAAAAGTGTTTTTTTGAGAGCTTTTTTATTGAATATTTCTGTTTTTTTTTTTTTGGTAGAGAAACTCTCAAAAGATTTTTTAAACTTGTATAGTTGTATCTAAACATGCTCTTAATTGAGAGAACTTCTATTAAAATTAAGTATAAGTTAATTTTAACTTGATAAAAGAAGATCAATTTATTTTACCTTGGTTTTAGAAAAGAACCTATATATCTATCTAAACTTGTAATCTTATAATGATTGGTTGTAAAAAGCAGTAAAATAAAAATGCTTACAGGAAAGAGGGCCTTCCAGAACTCGAAATCAACTTTTGGGACATCAGCAACCCTTGTGGCCCATGAGATTAGCATAATGAGAGAGCCAGCAGCAAGGGACAAAGTGGAAGTAAGCCAGGGGTAAGGAAAAGCATTGAGAACCTTCTTGTTGTATATGTTGAAGACCACATTGAGAGCCCACCAAGTAGCAAAATACAAACCAATTTTGAGCCTCTGAGCTGCCTCAATCCCTGTCTCTTCATCAATGTTAATCTTTAGAGGCTGTGACCTATCTGCTTCATAGGCCTGGCACTCAGTAACCCTCCTTCTGAGTATTGGTGACAATGTGAAGTTGTGAGTGGATGAAATGTAAAGAGGTCTGAGGGAAGAGAAATGGGATTCAGTGCTTTGTTGAACATTGTGAATAGAGGGTAATGTGAAGAGCTGAGGCCTTGGAACATGACTTGAGGAAGCAGGTAATGCTGTGTACTTCACTAAGGACATCATGATGCTGTACTTGGCTGCGTGTGTAAAAGAAAAAGAAAAAGAGCTGAATTTGTAGTTGAGAAATCAACAATGGGGTGGGTATGTGTGTGTTGATAAGATTTATGTATTGGCTTGAAGCTTAAAGTCGCACAATGTGCAAGTGTTTAACGATTATTGCTAGGTAGGCAAATGTAGACAAGTTGAAGCAGTGGTGAGGGAAAAGAGGATATGGTGACATAATCGAAAAGAATGAAGGAGGAAGCGGATTTTCCTAAGCCATTGTATAAGTGGAGTATTTTTTATATCCACAAACTTAATTATGTTTTTGTAGTAAATTGCAAAGCGGAAGATGATTATTAACAGTGCAAGCTCGCAGCGACAAATAGACAAAATTAACTTATGTTACCTTCTCTTCAACCCCACCAAAATGGTCTCTGTTTGTAATTGTATGATTATTAGAATACATTAATTATGCTCAACCTGTTGCTTCTGCCCATTCCTTGCATTGCTACTGCTTCATGGGTCTTGAAATCTGTATCTAAAACGACAAGGAACAACCAACAGGAGTTCATTGATTGAGGGGTGAGAAAAAAAATTAAAAACTTATAAATCTAAAGGAGAAAAAACAGCACTACCTAAAACAAACCTCGTAGCTGTTTTATTTAGATTAGGAATTCACCCTCTCATGTTACACATTTGAGTGTATCACTCTTTTGTTAAAAGTATAAAATTTTAGTTGTAATTTTTTTTTACTTATTTAATTTCTGTAAAGTAAAAGATAGAGATGAAATTTTCATGTGGCAAGATGAAGTGAAAATTTATTCCATTCCCATTTAAATTACGTGTCAACTTGCTCATGTTAAGTAGCACACGCCACAAGGTGACACTGATTAGTGATTACCAAAGCCTTTTCTCTACTACACAAGTTTTTCATGCTTCATGGGACGTTGCATTGAAGGCGACTAGTATAAGCCTATAAGGATACATGTGATTTGGGTTTGGTACAGAGTGGTTTGAAAAGTGCAGCAGTTTTTGTTTGCATTCGAAAAGGGTTCATCTTCATTATCCATATCCACGACAAAAATGTTATTCATTAACCGAATCAAGTTCAGCTTTAGCGTTCAGAATTTCATTATTTTAAAACTAGATAAAAAAAATTGACAAATAATTTAAATTATTTAATAAGAATTCCTTGGGCAATATTTTTAAAAGGAAGCGCCAACTTGAAGGTCCTATGAGGGGTGTTTTTAAACAACTTGACTTCTCTACATCCTCTGATCTTATAAGGATGCAGCAAATGTTCAGTCTCAGAATAAATATCATGAGGATGATTTTGTCGAAGACCAAATTCTTTGGTTAGCGCACTGGATAGAGAACCAAAACTAGATAAATAAAATAGATAGTAAGAGTCTAAGAGAGAATGAGTGATTTAGTAGTTATAAAAATGAAATAATATAAAATAACATCCTTTATTCAATTTATAGACAGTAATAATCTTAATCACTAAAAAAATTTAAGATTAATATTTTATTAAATGCATAATATACTGTGAAAAAATGGAATATTATAAAAAAAAAAATTTATATACTAATACATGCATTATGTAAAGAAATAAGTTCAACAGTGAATTTTCAAAAAATTACTATTATCCAAAAAAGTGAATTAATCGATAACCAAGCATAATTTCACAAGACGTGAAATTGGAAAAAGAAACATGGGGATAAGAGAAATTTACATTTTAAAACTATTCTATTCAATCATTAGATGTACACGTTAATTAGTTAAGTACATAAAAGATCCGGAAGTTGGTTCAAATGTTTAATCGTTGGTGGGAATCATCAAAATACCAACTACATCCTCCGCCAATATCTAAACATCAATAAATTTTAATAGTAGAAATGTCTACATATCCGACTAGCAAGAATTTAACATAACAACAACGTTAAAACTAGAGAGCCAAATACTTGTTCCACAAGGTGATGCTAGCTCAATACTTGTTCTACAAGGTGATGCTAGCTCATTTGGGGTTCCTAAGAACAATAATGACAGAATCTCCACGGAGGAACATTTTGCTGATAAATCTATCCTTGTTCACTGGCTGGGCCTTTTTCTTCCCTTTTCCGGTTTTTGGCACCTAATTGCACACAAATCGCTTAGTTTATGTAACAATTGTAAGGGAAGTAAATATAAAGGACAAAGCCATACCTCAGTCCACATCTCCCTGACATTTTCAAGAACCATGTTGCAGTGCCTATCAAAAGCCCTTACACGACCCAGAAGCTTTTTGTTGTTCCGACAATTTATCAGTACCTGCACAAGTAAAATGTGTAAAACATAACATCTTATACATCTGGACCTGCCTCAGATCCTATCCATAGACCATAGTATAAGTATATCATATAAAAACGTACATACCTGAGTATTATTTTTAACACTCATCATGAGCACAGACAGAGGTCCAGTGTTGAATTCCTCTTCCTCATTCTTACCCGCAGTCTATCAAATGAAGTATGTTAACTTGGCGAAGATATTAAAGCATAGTAAACAAGACTAAAGCACAAAATAATAAAATACATTACAACTGAAAAACCAATTTCACGCTAAAAGAGAAAAGACCAATAATTCCAGCAACAAAGACATTGTTCAATCCACATTACCATCACAAATCATATAATGGAAAGGTAGATATTAAATTTCAAGCTTTGAAATTTAACACACAAAATTTGTATTTGTTCACAACACCCGGCCCAATGAAGGGAAAAAAAAATAAAAATTGACACCATATCATAAGCCTAAATTCCTTTCCCTGGCTAGACTGGTTAGTGGTTACATAGGAGTAATGACACAAAACACATGAAAGAAAAAAAAATATTAAGATACTAATTAAAATCAAGCTAAATTGTGCAACACAGATATTGAATTTGCATAAATAGTTAAATTTATCAAATACAGACATTTAGAAACCTAGTTGGGCAGATAGATAGGGAAGAAGAAAAGGAATTATAAATATGCTTAAAGAACTTACATCTTCCTCCATTGGGCGGCTTGAGAAGAGAAAGTAGGG